ACGTTGAGCCATGCGTTGGCCTCATAAACGTACTCACGAAAAGGTACGTTGCCTTGAGGGCCCCAGTATGGGCCATGTGTTTGCCCATCGGTGCTGTTTTCTCCGCGGCGCATGTGTCCGACTGCTGCCCCCCAGCGCGAACAATATGATAGCGAATATAACCGGCCCAAGGCACTGTAGATTGGGGTGGTTATTAGGCGCGTTGCCGCGCTGGGGTAGCGCTTTGTCGAGTCTTCGAGGCGCTCTATCTGGCGGATCTCTCCGCCCATGCTTCAAGTATTGCGCTTTTGGCTCGTTGCCGAGCGGTTGGTAGTAGCGCAGTGATGAAGCGTATATGGTACCACTGTTGTTCTCTAGACGTCGTACCTCTCGTGTTGCTTTTTGCTCTTGGATAGATCCTCGTAAACGTACTGGGAGTGGTAGCGCAGGGTGGTAGGTGGTCACGAGGATCGTGCCGAAGAGTATGAGGATGAGAAGAGCAAGAGCTGACCACACGAGAGTGCGGCCAGCTCCGCTACCAAGTCGAAAGTGAGCCTGGTAGGTCAAATAGCATCCGTCTCCATTGGAGGCGGATGAGCTCACATTGCATCCAATTCCATGTCGAAAAGATAATATATGGGGTGTGGATGGGTAGGATAGGACAAGATCGATGTATCGATCTTTCCAGCACATAGCGAACACTAAGGTAAGTGTCCGGGCAAATAGGGCGCGCGTGCCTTGAGCCAAAGGCAACGGCGCGCGAGCTATACTCCCGATGCTACAACATCTTTCAAAGAGCTACCCTTAAAGTCGCTGGATAGGGACAAACATTCGGCCCCACAAAGGCTCGGTGTTCATGCACATCCAATGCGCCCCGGCCTTGTCGCGCCCCTTCCAAAAGAGTACAATATGCACTAGATATGTACGAAGCACCCCGCTGATGCGGAAAATGTGGTGTCACGAAACTTGGTTGTTGGGCCCCGAGCTACAACAACAGCAACAACAACGGTTCCCGCCTGATACGTTTTCGCAATTTACTCCAAATCGCATTCTGGAGCGGGACTCTGACAAATTATACAGGAATCGTGTTGTCGCGTGGGAAGTCCTCGCGATTTATTCAGACGCCGCGCCCTCGACACTCAGGGATCAGGCTCTCGCGGTGGGCGTTACCAACATTTATTTGAGAATCGCTCCATCGTTTGAGACTTCCTCGCGATTCATGCAGGACGCACGCTTCAGCAACCCGCCTGCTCGACCTGGCCGCCTGGGCCCGCCTTCCCGACCCGCCCGCAGGGGCTACCCGCCCGATCTGCCCGTCAGGTTCTGTCACACGTCTTGTGTTCCTAACTAGCCCCCTTCTGCTATCTCTCTCGTGCTCTCTCCTCCTCCCTCCCCCTTGTCCCCTCCTTCCATCCCTCCTCTCTTCCCTTGCCTTAAGGGCTGCACGAAATACACGTTGAAGGCAAGTACGCTATGTTCCATGAGAGGGGGTACGATCGAAGACGAATAAGGCGGGTTATCGAGGGTTTGGGATATACGTGCTGAATGTCACGCGGGCAAATAGAAACGAACAGTCATACAATGATTGCTGTGATTGTTGCCGCTGTTGATGTTGCTGTTGATGTGGCTGTTGTTGTTGCTGTTTTTGTAGTAGTTGTTGTTATTGCCGTTGTTGTTGGTGGTGGTGTTGTTGTTGGTGTTGTTAGTATTGTTATTGCTGGTGTTGTTGAGGTAGTCGTTCGGCACCTTCGCAAGGTGGAGAGATAGGGACGGAGCACGAGAGAGACTAGCAGGAGGGCTAGGAGCAGAAAACATATGGCAGAACCAAACAGGCAGATCGGGCGGGTTAGACCCTGACGGGCGGGTCGGGAAGGCGGGCCCAGGCGTCAAGGTAGAGAAGGCGGGTTGCTGAAACGTGCGTCCCGCATGAGTCGCGAGGAAATCTCGAGCGATAGCACGAATCCCGAGTACATCGTGAGGAAATCCAGGGAGAGAGCGTGATTCCTGCATGTCGAGGGCGCGGCGTGTTGGTGAACTGCAAAGGAGTACCACGCGAGAGCGTGATTCCTGCATACGTTCTGAGAACGTCCCGCGCGACAGCGCATTCCTGGAACACCTTGTGCGGAAGAGCAGACGGGAACCATTATTTGGAGTCCCGAAACGGTGCGGTGACACACCGTGCGGTGTGCTCGAAATCCCCCAAGACCTCACCGCACGGTCCGTCACCGCACGGCTTCGGGACCCTGGAAGCCCCTGTCGCCCGAGACATCCTCGGAGAGGGACTCGAATCCCAAAACCGTGCGGTGACCCCGAATCCCCACCGACTCACCGCACGGTGTGGTTATCGCACCGTTTGGGGGCCCCCGACATCCTTACTGTGGCTGCTGTTGTAAACCGGGGGCCAGGGGCGCAGTTCGAGGCCAAGACTTGCCACTGTAAAGAACGGGGCACGAGCCCCGGGGAGAAGCACTGCAACTGAGAAGCGCAATGGGCACCAGGGGATCACCAATAATTATATGATTTAGCGACGGGCACTCAAAAACAAGCACAACGACGACAACAACAATGGTATAAAAACTGTTCGGTTTCATATCCTCGCGCGTGGGTCAACATGTATATCCCAAGCCCTCAATATCCGCACTCTTCGTCTTCGATCAGGCGCTCGCATCGGGGGAATATCATGCTTACCTGCCGCGTCTAGTTGGCGCGGCACCTAAAACGAACGAAGGGAGAAGGGAAAGGACAACGGGGAAAGAGAAGGATTGAGCACGATAGAGATGAGCAGGAGGGTGTGACCAGGAGAGGGGGTAGGAGCAACAAAAAACAAACGATAGCGCCACACGGGCGGGTCGTTGAGGCGTACGTCCCGCATGCGTCGCGAGGAAGTCTCGAGCGACAGCGCGACCCCCTTGTAGATCACAAGGAAATCCGGATGACTCCTGAGTGCTGGGGGCGCGCGACACAATATTATATTGCGAGGTGCCATCGCGCGAGAGCACGATTCCTGCATTTATTGTACAGAAGCCCCGCGCGAAAGCGCGATTCCTGCATTCATTGTGCAGAAGCACCGCGCGAGAACGCGAGTCTGAACACATCGTGGAGCAATTCGGGCGGGAGCCGTTGTTGTCGTAAGTCGGGCGCCACGGGCGCGGCGCGAAGCCCACGACTTCGCGTGTCCAAACCCTTGCGCTCATCGAAAAATTAAAAGGGGCAACAGGGGGGGGTCACCAATAGTTTACATCCCCAGACCAAGCATTTTTCCTTCTGGAGGGACATGTATGATAACACCAATGGATCCAATTGGACTTTTGACCTCTTCTCTGGGTGCGTCGCAGCTTCGTGAATCATACATCTGCGCTGCGCGGATGCAATGTCCCGTGTGGGATAACCGAGGGACCAATGAACGCTTCTGCAACAAATGTACGACTGACCCGAATAAGGAATCTCCTGGGCACACAGGAAATTAGATCCACTGGGCACAGCACGTGAGGTATCATGCTATCCACGGAACTGTGCCACTGCACACGAGTGTTATGATTATACTGGGTTAGGGTTCTCCTGGACTGGAGGGGAATCCACACCAAGAAAGAGAAGAGGGAAGCGCCCTCCTATAGATTGTACGATCATGCTATTATGCACACCAGTGAAGAGGAGGGGGGAGGGAGGAGGCAAGGGGAGGGGAGCGGAGGAGAGAGGGGGGACGGAGATGGGAGGGGAAGACAGAGGACATATGCAGGAGGAGGGAAAGGATGAGGGAAGGACGAGGAAGAGGATCCTGAGGAGGAGGGAAGAGGCAGGAGGGGAGAGAAGGCGGGAGGACGGAGGGGGAGGAGGTCGAGCAAGAAGAGGAAGAAAGGAGAAGCCAGGACGGGGAGGACGAAGACAAGCGAAGTGCCAAGGTCGGAGGCTCGAGCCCCACTGCGGGCCCAGCCCCCACCACCCGCCACTCCCGTGGCGTGTGAGCGATCGAGCGCCACAGCGGGCCGGGCCATCACACGCAGAGCCCTCCAGTAACATACGGCTGCTCGACCGCCACAGCGGGCCCAGCCAGCCCCCGCATCGACTGCGGCGCGCCCCGACTGGATCCGAGCGCCACTGGCCATCGCTCGGACGTCAATCCCCTGTGATTTTGTTAGGTTTCGTGCGTGCCTTTTCGCAGAAAATGATCAAGGATGCTCCTCGATGGTCCTCGCCGAAGGCAAAATGCATTCGTCCGAGCGATGCCAAGGCCACACGCATCCGTGCCCCTGACCGGCACGGCGCTTCCGACAGGCCGGGCTCGCGGGGAGCATCGGCCGGCCCGCGCGAGCAAGACGTGAGGAGATGAGTTTCCAAGGGTGCGCGGGCCCCCGAGCCTCCCCCAGGGGGGGCCTCTGCAGGCCTCCTTGGGCAACCTCGGGGGGGCAAGTTTCTAAAGATGTCCCACGCGAGGACGCGGGTTTGAGATGCACCACCCGGTTTTCCAGAAACGAAACAGGGAGGGCAGTTCACGGGTTCCCTCGCGCGGCGGGGGTCAGGATGACGTGCGTTTCCAATACAGACTCCCAATTCTAAAAGGTACCGGAAGAGGCATGCACGTCAGCTCTTGGAGGACCGCGCGCATTCCTTGGATCCGCTCTGGACCACCCCCCTTCTTGGCGCGCGGAGCGCGCCAGGGCCCCGGCGCCGCAGGGGCCGCCGGGCGGGATCAACACCGAGCAATGAAACAAGCGCGGATCTCCGTCTATGTTCTCTCTCCTCCTTCTCCTCCTCCTCCTCCTCCTCCTCCTCCTCCTCCTCCTCCTCCTCCTCCTCGATCCCCTCCTCCTCCTCCTCCTCCTCCTCCTCGATCCTCTCCTCCTCCTCCTCCTCCTCCTCCTCCTCCTCCTCCTCCCCTCTTCCTCCTCCTCCTCCTCCTCCTCCTCCTCCTCCTCACCATCCCGTTTTTCTTCTTCCACGCATGGAGCTTCTGACGAGGAGCAGGGTGAGGACACGGCGAGGCACGGTGCCGGCTCTGGCCGCCCTTCCCGTGCCCTCGGAGCCGAGCGACGTGAGGAGCAGCCGGGACTTGGCGGTCTCGTACACGCCGAGGTACAGCGCGGAGCTCGGCCCCTTCGAGGGGAGGGGGGCTGCGGGCGCCAGGGATACAGTCGAGGCGTTGACCTAAGGAACCCTAAATAAGGAACGAGGCCCCGTTTTTCCATAAGTTAACCTTCGATTTCCTTTCGAAAACATAAGGAAAGCCTGAGGCAAGCTGTGAAACACTTAAGGAACGCGGAGCCCCTCCCCAACGAAAAGGGTTCCTTCTTCAGGGCCCCGACTGCACGCACCGCCAGCGCCTCCATCGCCGCGTCCCCTCCTCCGGCCCTGCCCTCCTAGCCCCCCCTTTTTTCGTGTCGGGCGAAAGGGGGGGAGATAGCAAAGGGGGGGCTTGAGAATCGGCTCACGCAGCTGATTTTCTCCGCGTCTCCCGGCGCCAGAGGCGCCTATGTGTCGAGGCATGGGCCCATCGGTGAGGCCGAAACCAGCTGCATGCAGCAAAGTTCGACCCCCCCCCTTCCCCATTTCCCCCCCTTGCGTCCTCCCCCCCTCTCCTGGCATGGGGCCGGGGTGGTGGTGGAGGAGAAGGAGGAGGAGGAGGAGGAGGAGGAGGAGGAGGAGTGGTGGTGGGTGTACAGTCGGGGCGTTGACCTAAGGAACCCTAAATAAGGAACGAGGCCCCTTTCATCCATAAGTTCAACTTCGATTTCCCATCGAACACCTAAGGAAAACCTGAGGCAAGCTGTGAACCAATCAAGGAACACGGAGCCCCTCCCCGACGAAAAGGGCTCCTTCTTCAGCTCCCCGACTGTAACCCCCCCTTTCCCAATCCCCTCCCCTCCTCCAGCCCTGCCCTCCTCCAGCCCTCGCCCCTCCCCTCCTCCAGCCCTGCCCTCCTCCCCCCCCTTCTCGGGTCGGGCAAAAGTGCACGCCGCCGTCCTCGTGGTAAGAATCGTCGTGGGCATCGCACCTGAGCGGTGACCTCAACTAACCCCCCCTTTCCCAATCCCCCCCTTGCGTCCTCCCCCCCTTGCCTGGGATGGGGCCCGGGGTGGTGTACGTGTACGTTTCGATGGCCCCGTGGGGAACCAATCAAGGAACACGGAGCCCCTCCCCGACGAAAAGGCTTCCTTCTTAGCGCCCCGACGGTAACCCCCCCTTTCCCAGTCCCCCCCTTGCGTACTCCCCCCCTTTCCTGGCATGGGGCCGGGGTGGTGGTGGAGGAGGAGGAGGAGGAGGAGGAGGAGGAGGAGGGAGAGAGGAGGTAGGAGGAGGAGAAGGGAACACGGAGAGAGGCGGAACGAGAGATTAGGAGAGAGGAGAGAGGAAGGAGAGGAGGAGAGAGAGGAGGAGAGAAGGTGGAAGGAGCGAGCGGAGGAGAGAGGTGGAGAGGAGGAGAGAGGAGGAGGAGGAGGAGGAGGGGAGGAGGAGGAGGAGGAGGAGGAGGAGGAGGAGGAGGAGGAGGGGGAGGGGAGGAGGGTATGGCTCGATGGCCCCGTAGGGAGAAGGGGGGGGGGGGACACGGGCAGAGCAGGGCCGGGCGAGGGGGCGGGCCGGGCGAGGGGGCCGAGGGGGGCAGCGGGGCACGCCAATACACAGGCACAAGTCAAAGGATTCCCCATATTTTCCATATATGTTCTGGGTGTCTTCTTCCCCCCCCCCCTTCCCATCTCTTCCCATATGTTTTGGGGGAATCGACGATGAATTGTGTCTCTGTGTGTTTTTTCCTCTCCTGATCGAGGGATTCCCCATCTGTTCCCACATGTTCTGGGTTCCTGTCTGCCCCCCCACTTCCCACCTTTTCCCATCTTCCCTTGGACACACAGATACATCGGCACAAGTCACAAAAGATTCCCCGCTCGTCGTCGTCGTCGTCGTCGCCGTCGTCGTCGTCGTCGTCGTCGTCGCCGTCGCCGCCGTCGCCGCCGCCGCCGCCGCGCCCGCCGCCGTCGTCGTCGTCGTCGTCGTCGTCGTCGTCGTCGTCGTCGTCGTCGTCGTCGTCGTCGTCGTCGTCGTCGTCGTCGTCGTCGTCTTTCAGGGTCTGCGGCACCGGCCGTAAGACCTTCGCAATAAAAGGATTCCCCTATGTTCCCATAGTTTCTGGGTTCTTGTCCTCCCCCCCACTTCCCATATTTTCCTATATTTTCTGGGGGGTCGACGACTGACTGTGTCTGTGTGCGTTTGTTTTCCTCCTGAACCTATGCATGTCCGCCGCCCCTGGCCATCCCAATCCTGGGCCCAGCGCCTGCGCATGCACCCCCATGGCCTGGCCAGGGATGCATCTGCCCTCCGCCACCCTGCTGCACCGCACTCCGCCTCCCCGCCGCGCGTCATCCTTTCCCCCGCCTGCTCCTGCACCCCTCCGCAGCCATCCCTGACATGTGGCCATCGCTGCTTCTCGGGAACGGCCAAGAGGGGGGTGTCCAAGAGGGGCGGGTGCAAATCATGACCGGCGGCATGTGCGCGGCCCAGCGGGGGGGCCAGGGACGTAATGAAATAGGAAGAGGCGCCATGAAATCCGCCGACCCCCTGGGTCATCGGCGTGTGAGATGCTTCCCCCTCCCCAAACCCCTCCCCGGGGAACCCGGTCCGGTCGATTTGGAGGGGGGGGGGTGCCCACCACGAGCGACTCACGACGCTCTTCCGGGCCCAAAAAGGCCCAAATACGGGCCAAAAAAGCCCCAAGAGGCCTCCCAGACGTTCCAAGAGGCCCCCAGACGCCCCAAGAGACCGCCTAGACGCCCTAAGAAGCGCCCAAGAGGCCCCAAGAGGCTTCCAAGACGCCCCACGAGGGCTCCAAGACGCCCGAAGAGACCTCCAAGACGCCCCAAGAGACCTCCAAGAGGCCCCCGAGGAGCGCCCCAAGAGGCCAAAATCGTTGATTTTCATTTGTTTTTTCGATGTTTTCGTCATTTTCGCCTTTTCGGTCTTCCGACGCTCCAAGACAGCCCAAGAAACTCCCAAGACTGCTCCAAGACGGCACAAGAGGCCTCCTCGACGCCCCCAAGACGGCCCAAGAGAGCCCCCAGACGGCCCAAGAGCCGCCCAAGGCGGCCCAAGAGAGCCCCCAGACGGCCCAAGAGCCGCCCAAGACGGCCCAAGAACCTCCCGGAGACGGGCCCAAGAGGGGCTCCAGAGAGAGACCACGCACCGGAAAACCCAGCCTTACGTCCCAAGAGGCCCCCAGGAGGCCCCCAGAGGCCCCAAAGAGGCCCCAAGAACCCCCCAAGAGGCCCCCAAGACGTTCCAAGAGGCGCCCAAGAAGCCACAAAGAGGTCCCAAAACGGCCCCCAAGAGCCTTCGAAACTGCTCCAAGAGGCCCGCAAGAAGCCCCCCCGCAAGATCCCAACGGACATCCCTGAACACACCGGTTTTTCGAGTCGCGCCCAGCCCCATAACCCGGAGCCTCATCTCAGTGTCCCCGTCCTCCTCCTCTTCCTCCTCCTCCTCCTCCTACACTTCCTCCTCGTTCCCCTCCTCCTCTTCCTGCCCCGCTTCAGCTCATCCTCACCGATGCTTCTCCCCCCCATTTTCCGCCTCACCCCCCATCCTCCTCTTCCCGTCCTCCCTTTCTGCCCAGCGCGCGCAACCGATTGGGCATCATTTGCACGTCTTGCACTTTAGGGTGCCCTTCTTTGCGTCGCGCGGGACATTGTGAGGGTCGGGGAACGCCGACTTTGGTAGTCCTCTCTTGCACGCGCCGCTGCACTGATAAGCCTGGCAACTGCGCGCTGTGAACCCGAGTTCCTCGCAGCTTCTGCACACCAGTTTAGCTCCTTTCGCCGCTCGATGATGTTCCACTTGCTTCTGCTTCAAATGTTTCGTGTCCGAGAACGCGCCTTTGCACGCCGCGCACGTCAGCGGCTTCGCGTCCGCCTCTGCTTTCCGCTTGCGATTCTCTGCATCCGCCTTCTCGTTCCGCCCACCCTTCTCGTTGCGGGCGCACGCCCTGCAAAGCCTCTCCCCCGCATCTTTCGAGTCGTACTGGTTCGCCGCCACTTCCGCCTCCGTCTTCAAGAAATTCTTGCACTTCGCGCACCGAATCTGGACTTTTTCCTGGATCTGAGAGGCCTCTGAACCACAACTCAGGCACGGTGGCGGGATGGGCCGACTACTGGGAGGAGGAGCAAAGACGACGACGATAGGAATGCGGGGGATAAAGTCGGGCCATGACGCCCCCAAGACGTCCAAGATTGCCTCCAAAAAAAAACAAGGGGTCGGCGGTGTGGCGTAAGCCTAAAGAATCTGGGGAAATATCATGGCCCACGCCATGATATCCAACCCCCCCCTAATCATCACCCCCCTCTTTTCCGCCCCCGAGCTTCTCTCTTCTCTGCTCGCTCCCGAAGCCCGCGCGGCCCTCCGCGAAAGTAGGCGCCGATCCTCCGCAAAACAGGGCTAGGATCGGGATAAATCGCTCCAGAGCGTTCCGGAGCGCTCTGAGAGCGTTCCGGAACGCTCTGGAGCGGCCGCGGCGCCCAATACATCCTCCAAACCCGCCGATCCTCAGAGATTTCGAATTATCCCGATCCGATGTTGTCCCGATCTTCGCGTCGTTCTACTCCGACCACCCCGCGCGGACCCCCACAGAACCCGTGCTCGAGACGGATGTTTTGGTTCTCGCCCGAGGCGTGGGGGCGGCCGCGGGCGGCGCGCCCCGCGGCGCCCGCGGCGGCGCGCGGTGCGCACGAGGGGGTACAGTCGGGGCGCTGACCTAAGGAACCCAAAATAAGGAACGAGGCGTCTTTTCTCCAGGAAGCATTTAAGAACCCCCCCGGAGATATCGTAGCACCGCAATTTTATTCGATATTCCAACGGGCCGAAATAACCGAACGATAGCTGTAGCACCCGGGCATGATGATGATGATGATGATGATGATGATGATGATGATGATGATGATGATGATGATGATGATGATGATGCGGATATGGATGATGGTGCGGAAGGGTTATCGATTTGCCCGCGGGGGGGGGTCTTAAATGCTTCCTGGGGTTATTTCCACAAATTCAACTTCGACTTCCCATCGAACACCTCGGGAAAACCTGGGGCAAGCCGTCAAACAATCAGGGAACACGGAGCCCCTCCCCAACGAAAAGGGTTCCTTCTTCAGCTCCCCGACTGTAGCCCCCCCTTTCCCAATCCCCTCCCCTCCTCCAGCCCTGCCCTCCTCCAGCCCTCGCCCCTCCCCTCCTCCAGCCCTGCCCTCCCTTCTTCAGGGTCCTGGCTGTATGGGGATGGGGGGAGAGCTCCTTGAAAAAAAGAGAGGCCGCTGCTGCGAAGGCGCCGGCTCTACCTCGGCAGTCGGGCTGCCGCGGGCGGGACGCGCGAGGGGACACAGGACCCTTCCGAGGGCCACGGTGCCACAGCAATTTGGGCGCCCGAGTTATCCGGGGTAACTCGGGTCCGGGGTAACTCGGGTTCGGATTCCCGAAAAAGGAACCCGAGTTAACCCTGACCCGAGTTACCCCTGATGATTCGGGGCTCTGAGCAATGTCCGAGGCATGGGCCGCGAGACACAGGACTGGCAGGGTCGACCTCCGCATGCGGGCCGACTGCAGGGGGAGGGGGGAAGGCTTCCTGAAGAGAGGCTGCTTCTGAAAAAGGCGCCAGCTCTGCATCCGTACACGAGGGCCGCGCCTTCTGAGATGCAGGGGTGCTCCTAAAAAGCCCTCCCCTCCCCCTTACCCCCCTCTGCGCGTGGCCGATCAGCCTCGAATCGATAATTCGGATGTGCGCCAGATCGGATCGCCTTGGCACGGAGTCGAAATCGAATCGGATCAGCCGCGCCAGTCCGGACAATGACGCCATGCGAGCATCGGTCCGCATCGGATCGTCGGCATATCGAGATCGACTCGGATCGGCCCTGCTGAAATCGGCGCATCGAGCTGGACCGATGAGGTCGAAATGGGCCCTGCAGGGGGGCAGTGCGCGGAGGCGAGAGAGAGGCGGAGGGGAGGATCGGTGCGGGCCTCCTTCAGGATGTTGCCCACCACTCCCTTGTACAAGTCCTGGACGTTGCCTAGGAGGTCAGTGGGCTCCGCCTCGGCTCGCGTCGGACAGAAAACTGGCACGCTTTCCCCCCCCCCTGACCTCTGGAGGACGGGACCCAGAGGAGGTGAGGGAGGGAAGGGTGAGCATGGGAGGAGAAAGAGAGAAGAGAGAGAACAGAGAAAGAGACAGAGACAGAGAGAGAGGGAGAAGGGCGAGAGAAAAAGAGAGAAGAGAGAAAGAGAGACAAAGAGAGCGAGAGGGGGGGGAGAGAGAGAGAGAGAGAGAGAGAGAGAGAGAGAGAGAGAAAGAGAGAGAGAGAAAGAGAACAAAAAAAAGGGTGAAAGCAAGAAGAGCAAGCAGGGAGCCAGCCTTCTGGCGAGCGCCCGGGAGCGCCTGGCCCTGGCACCGCCCGCCAGGGACGAGACGAGGGCAGGCAGCGCGGGGGGAGGAGGGCAGGAAGCGAGGGGAGGAGGACGGCAGGAAGCAAAGGGGGAGGAGGACGGCAGGACGCGGGGGGGGGAGGAGGGCAGGAAGCGGGGGGGGGGAGGAGGGCAGGAAGCGGGGGAGGCCGAGGCAGCTCGACGGGGGGGCCCGGCCCCGACGCCTGCCCCCCGCGCGCCTGCGCCTGCCCGCGGGGGGAGGGGGCGCGGAAGCGGAGCCCGCCTTCGGCGGCGGGCGAGGGAGAGGGGAAGGAGACGGAGAAGGGCCCCGTCAGACGGCGGCGGGGCTTCGCAGGGGCCCTCGTGCCTCCTGAGGCATGTGCTGGGTCTTGGGCTCAGTGGGCCCTGGAAGCGACAGGGCCGTTTTTTACCGGTTCCGTTTTGCCGTTGTGTTGCCACTTCCGACGCCGTTTTTTTACTGGTTCCGTCGCCGTTGTTTGACCGGTTCCGGCTCCGGTTCCAATCCTGGAGCCGTTTTTTTGCCGTGTCCGGTCGCCTTTTTTTGCCGTTTCCATTTTCAAGGGACATTTTTTTCGAAACGGTGAAAAACGGCCGTGCCGTTTCCGGGTCCCACAAAGGTCTTGGGGGAAGGCGCAGGAAACTCCTCAGAAGGCCAAGGGGGCCGCCGAGCCTTCCGAGAAGGCCCGCCCCTTCTCACCGACCCCCGAGGCTCGCCGCCGACCTCTTGGGGGAGGCGGGGGCCAGGACCAGGGCTGCATTCGGGAGCGTCGTGTCGATCTTGGTCACCAGCGATCGCGGTCAGGGTCAGTTCACGGAGCATCCTCGCGCGGCGGCGACGGGCCACGTGGACCATGACCGAGATCGGCATCGACAAGATTCACGGGGCCCCAGGACACACACATCAATACACATAAATAACAAGCAAATAACAGGATTCCCAATTTTTTCACATGTTTTCTGGGTTTCTGTCTTCCCCCCCACTTCCCACATGTTCCTATATTGTTTAGGGGATCGATTATTAACTGTGTCTGTGTGTTTTGCCCCTCTTGAAAAATGCCGTGACATCCTGGTCATGGTGCCCGTGCTTCTTCCTTCGCGGGCCCGCGCGGAGCGCCAAACATTGATGGTTCTGGCGTTTCTCTTCTTCGAGATGGGGAGGAGGAGAAGTGCACAAACCGTGTGGTTGAAGGGGGCCCAGGACACACACATGAATACACACAACTAAAAATATTCCCCACATGTTCCCATATGTTCTGGGTTTCTATCTCCCCCCCCACTGCCCATATTTTCCCATAGTTCTATAGGGATCGACGATTAATTGTGTCTGTGTGTTTTTTGTTCCCCCTCCTGAAATTGATGGTTATGGCGTTTTTCTTCTTCGAGGTGGGGAGGAGGAGAAGTGCACAGACCGTGTGGTGGCAGACCGCGCGGCGACCTCGATACCCCGAGAGGCCCCCACCGCGGCCCGTCACCGCGCCGTTCCTTGGGACCCCGGGTGCCCCCGTCGCCCGAGGCGTCCTCGGGCAAGGACCCCCAAGTCCCCCCAAAACTGCGCGGCGACCCCGAAATCCCCACCGCCTTACCACGCGGTGGGGCCACCACACTGTCAATGGGGCCCCCGATGACAGGAGGTGCGGCGGCAGGCGAGCCGAAGCCAGGAGCGGGACACGTCGGAGCGGCACGCCTCTGGGGGAACCTCTTCGAGCTGGCGCTTCCGAGGGGAGGAACATCGGGCGCCGCGCGGCCGGGGAACCGCCCCGAGAGCGGTCTGGCACGCCCAAGAGCGGAGTTAACACAGTCCTGGCCCCGCCCGAGGAGGAGAGATCGGGGATGGACAGACCTCCCTTTAGCAAAACGTGGTTTAGTGAAAACGACCCGGGGCCCAAACCTGGCCGGCGCCAGCCTGGAAACTAACGGCCGCGGCGCCCTCTCGAGCGCCGAAAACGGACAATTCACTAATCGACGTGTCACTGTTGGGGGTTCTGTCCGCCCCCGAAGAGAGAGGGGCGCGGCAGAGCGCGGGAAGCTTGTCGTTCCACGCGGGGCCTGGGGCACACCGTGCTCCTTCTTCACTCAGGCCTGGGGCGGGCGGCGCAGATGCCGCCTTCGCCACCGCCCAGACCTCACTGCGCGGGCGCAAATGGAGGAGGAGGACGACGACGACGACGACGAGGACGAGGACGAAGACGAGGAGGAGGAGGAGGAGGAGGAGGAGGAGTTTTAAACCCGCGTGTTCCCGCCCGCGAGTGGGCGCCCCTGGTCTCGTCACTCCGCGCGGGCCGAAAGGCCCGAGGCGGGGTGGGCCAGCGGCCTCATCTCACGGCGTCTTACTGCCGCCACTCTGTGACTCATGGAGTCGCCCCGAGAGCAGCGGCAGTCTGAAGAAATGCTGCCGCTGCCCACTCAGAGCTTGAGGAGCAGCCTGATGGACGGCCGCTGCCGCTCCTCCGCTCTGCGCTCTTCCAGGGACCGCCCTGGCTGCTGGTCCCCGGACTCATGGGCCTTCTCGATCGCCCTGCCTGGCGCAGAGCTGCGGCCTAACCCCTCGCCACGCTGGGGCGCGTTGCGGCCTAACCCCTCGCCGCGCAGGGGTCCTCCGTGGCCTAACCCCTCGCCACGCTGGGGGTTGGTGCGGTCTAACTAACCCCTCACCGCGCTGGGGATACTCGTGGCCTAACCCCTCGCCACGCTGGGGGCTGCTGCGGTCTAACCCCTCACCGCGCTGGGGCGCTCCGTGGCCTAACCCCTCGCCACGCAGGGGCCTGTTGCGGTCTAACCCCATCACCGCGCTGGGGTGCTCCGTGGTGGCCTAACCCCTCGCCACGCCGGGGTCTGTCGCGGTCTAACCCCTCACCGCGCTGGGGCCCATCGTGGCTTGACCCCTCGCCACCCTGGGGGTCAATGCGGTCTAACCCCTCACCGCGCTGGGGAATACCGTGGCCTAACCCCTCGCCACGCTGGGGGCTGCTGCGGTCTAACCCCTCACCGCGCTGGGGTGCTTCGTGGCCTAACCCCTCGCCACGCAGGGGCCTGTTGCGGTCTAACCCCTCACCGCGCTGGGGTCCCTTGTGGCCTAACCCCTCGCCACGCGGGGGCCTGCTGCTGTCTGTCCCCTCTCCACTGTGGGGCCCTCCGTGGCCTAACCCCTCGCCACGCTGGGGATCGTTGCGGTCTAACCCCTCACCGCGCTGGGGTACTCCGTGGCCTAACCCCTCGCCACGCTGGGGCCTGCTGCGGTCTAACCCCTCACCGCGCGGGGGTACGCCGCGTCTTGCACTGTCCCCATCCTCGGTGCTGCTGCCCCCTGGCTCGGGCGGGGTCCCGCGACTTTGCCACTCGCTGTGTTCGCGGTTCACGTGGTATCCGCGGGCCGTGCCCTCCCCCTCGCGTTCAGACTGTCGGTTTCCCAGGGTTCGGGTCCGCTCTGTTAGTTGCGAGGTCCTGTCTACCACACTGTTGGTCAAAAGGTCCGCGTTTTGCTCATTGGGCACGTCATAGGCTTCCGCCTCAAGCCTCTGCTTGCCTTTGGTCCTGCGGCCTGCCCCCTCATCGCGCAGGGGGTATCCGTGGCCTAACCCCTCGCCAAGCAGGGGTGCCTTGCGGTCTACCCCCTCACCGCGCTGGGGTGGGTCGCCGACGATCTTATTCAAGTCCCGCTGCAGGTCTGTATCGTCGAAGTCTGCCGCCTTCTCAGGCTGCGCTGTTTTGTGGCCTAACCCCTCGCCACGCGGGGGATCGCCGAGTCTCGTACTGTCCCCATCCTCGGTGCTGCTGCACTCTGGCTGAGGCGAGGTCCCCCGACTATGCCTCTCGCTGTGTTCGCGGTTCACGTGGTATCCGCGGGCCAAGCCCTCCCCCTCGCGTTCAGTCTGTCGGTTTCCCAGGGTATGGGTCCGCTCTGTTAGTTGCGAGGTCCTGTCTACCACGCTATTGGTCAAGACGTCCGCGTCATGCTCACTGGGCTCGTCAGGGACCTCCGCCTCGATCCTCTGCTTGTCTTTGGATCTGCGGTCTAACCCCTCACCGCGCTGGGGCCCTCCGTGGCCTAACCCCTCGCCACGCTGGGGTCCTCTGCGGTCTGCCAGGTGGTGCCCTATGCTGTGCTGTGCATCTGGGAACTGCTGGTGGTTGTCATCGCTGCACTGCTTGTCTTCGTCCTGCTGGGGGCTGTCCTCTCTGTTCTCCTCTTCAGGGAAGTGGTCGAGGTCTGCCATGTCCTTGGTGCTGCTTCCTGCTGGTGGGGGACGGGCACCCCTCTGCATCCCGTCTGGCGCAGGGCTGTGGCCTAACCCCTCGCCACGCTGGGGTCCTCCTCGGCCAAACCCCTCGCCGCGCAGGGGTCCTTGGTGGCCCGTCCCCTCTCCGCACAGGGGCCTCCTCGGCTGTGTGGCTGGAGCCCTGCTTGGCACTCGCCCTGCTGCTTGTGGTCGCGGGCTGCGGCTCCTCACTTCTGGCTCAGTCACGCCCGGGATCTGCTCAGCCGTTGCTCTGCGCCGCTCTGCCTCCTTCGGGTCCTGCTGCTGGATCTGTCTACGCTCCTCTCCGCTGTTGAGCCATGCCAGGCGGCAGATCTCCTCCGCCGCTCGGCGCTGGCTGCGCTGGCGGATCGTCCCTGACTCGTGGCTGAAAAGCCTCTGATAGACTCCAGTCTGCAGCGCCCTCATCACATGGGGCACGCACGCAGCCTGCCACGATGGCCAGCCCAGCTCGCCCTCTTTCTGGCTCCAACAGCCTGCCAGCGACTGCATGAGCTGCTCGAGCCTGTTCCTCTCGAGCCACGCCACCTCCTGCTCGGGGTCCTGGTCGGCTTCTCCTTTGTTGTGTCGAAGCCTTGGGTGGAGCAAGCCGGCCTCGTCAGCTTCGCTCACGAACTTCATCAGGTCGGGCCCCACTGGCTTGGTCAGCGTTACTGCCACCTGCACTGCCGTCTGCATCAGGCTGTTGGCGTCGTGCCTCTGATCAGGCCCCGCCATGGTCTCCATCTCCTGGCTGCTCGGCTCGCCCTCCAGCTCTGGGGCTTCACTGTCTGGGGTCGAGTCATCATCGTCCAGGTTCTCTGGTGACCACTCTCGGCTGGCCTCCGCTGTTCGCGGCAGCGGCCTGCGCTCACTGCTGGGGATGCTGTGCGCTATGATGTTGTTCCTACTGTTGTGGAAGGCGTCCATGTGCACTCTAGCTGCCTGCTGCCATGTGCCATGCGGGAGGGTAAGCATCCTGGTCATGAGCCTCCGTCGCGTGCGGTGCGTGTTGCGCCAGACTTCTTCGCAGAAGTCCTTTATCTGCTGGATCTCCTGCACGGTGACGGCCCTGGTCTGCTCTTGCGTGTCCGTTCTGCCACCCACATTGGTGATGGCCAAGAGGTACGGTACGCAGTGCTCCATCCAGTCGCCCATGTCGTCCCAGACCTCTTGGTCGACCATGTTCATCCACAGCTCTGCGTAGCCCTCCATGTGGTCGACGAGCCTCAAGCTGGCGTGGACGACAGAGTACGGATGGCTGGGCGGCTGCTGCGGAGCTGGCTGCGGGTCCCCTGCCTCTGAGCTGTCCCCGTCCAGATCGATCACCTCGTGGTTGCTCAGGCCGAGCTTGAAGCCACCTGGCATGGTGATCTCGTCGAGACCCTCATCAGCTGGGTCTGCTGCTGGCTTAGCTCCTCTAGGCAGCTTGCCCCTCTGCATATTCTCCAAGACTCGCCTCCCTGCTGCTGTTGGGGGCTGACATGGCCTTGCCAGCTTCCTTGCCACTCCTGCCACGATCCTGCTCTTGTGGTCCCCAAGGTAGCTAGTGCCGCCACATTTCTCGCACCAGGGCCAGCCATGGGTGTACTGCGTCTTGTGGGAGCCGTGCACCACCTGCGTGCCGATCTGCACCGCCTTGAAGTCGAGCCCGACGTTGCCGTGCTGGTCCTGGTGGCCGCCGTACTTCCCGAGGCATTTTCCCGTCTCTGCCAACCAGTCTCTGATGCTTTGTCCTTTGGCTGGGCCACTGCGGCACGTTGCACACCACCATCGCGGATGTAGTTTTCGCAGGTCGTGTCCCTGCTGGGCTGCCCTGTCCCTCGCCGTCTGCGGCTTTCGCCGCTTGGCCTTGGGACGCTGAGGGGCCTTGTTGGGGTCCTCCACCATCGCCGCCATGTTGATGGCCAGCAGCCTGTTCTGCACCGCCATGGTGATCTGGTCTCTGATCTGCTGCTGCACGATGATAGCTGGATCCAGCGCTCCGTGCTCCGCCCCCCAGCCTGCGTACTTATCCGCCATCTCGTTACCTATGACCCACCAGGTGGGACCATTCCACCTCTCCAGCTCTGTTGGGTGCTCAATAAGGTGGCTCGGGATGTGGTGGCCCATGATGGTGTCCTTGCTGTTCTGTAGCTGCTGCTTCGTCTGGAGCCAGAGGTCGTAGTTCGTGCTCCTGTAGTCCAGATCCTCAGGGTCCTGGATATGCTTGAGTGCGTCCAGGGCGTATTTGCAATCGCTGACTATGTTTAGCCCCCTGGCTGTCGCCGCCGTGGTGTAGCCGATGGCTTTGCTCATAGCGGTGAGCTCTGCCCGTGGCACCGTGTGCGGTGCCCTGATTGTGCCGTACCAGGCAGCCACTTCCTGCGGACGACCTTGTTCGTCGAACCTGAATGCCACCACTGCCCAGCCGCAGCGTCTGAGGCGGGGGTCCCTGGCCGTTCCCCCTGCACCACCTGAGCCGTCCGTAAAAAAAAACATAGTCTGCTCGCACCTTGTGCCCTGGCTGGGCTGCAGCTTGCGCCTCTTCACTGGTGCAGAAGATCTGCGCCGCCTTCGCCGCGTCCTCGTCTGGGTCGACCTTGGCTGCCCAGGCCGCTGGCGGGATGCCTCGGAGCCAGCAATGCAGGTCCTGCCGCTGGTCCAGCGCGTCCTTCGCCTTCTTCGCCAGGTCGGTGTCACTGCTGTGCCCTATTTCTGCGTTGGCAGGGCAGGCGTAGTAGCGGTGTTCCTCTGTCTCTATCGCCTCGCCGCATCTCGCGCAGGTGTCATCGCCTTCTTGGTTGAGGTTGGCCGCCCTGCGACGCTCCCTGGCCCAGATGCCTGCCACCGCTATGGTTTCCAGCATTGCTGCCTCTGCATGCTGTCCTTTACGCCTCCTTCTTCTCAGGTGGCGCTGCAGCTGATAGAGGTCGCCTCCAGCCTGAAGTCCTTCTCCACTGCGATGACCAGCTGCCTGCTGCCAGAGCTGCTGCTGCGCGCTCTGCTGGACCTCATGCAGGAGCGCGCCGAAGTGGGGAATGTCATCTGGCTTGTAGGCCCACTCGTCACCTGCTGGGCTGATCCAGCTGTCCAGGCGTCGCGGTATCCAGCCTAACCCAAGCAACTGCACAATGACCCCTGCCATGGGCCCCTTGACCTGCTGCCACCTGCGGTTGGGTTCCAGGGCGCCCAGCTTGGCGTAGAGCAGGAGCCAGCCCCTCTGGTACCTCTTGAGCTCCGTCGGGTGGTCGACTACGGTGAGCCAGAACTGCTTGATCTGGTCGCCGATGGCTCGGGTTACTGCCTCTTGCATACCCCTCTGGATCAGGAGGATGGTGGACGTGCAGCGTCCAGCCTTGTGTCCGCCTGTGAGGAGCGCTGCCTCCGTTGCCCTGACCAACTTCGCCTCCGTGGGCGTGATGCCGTGCGCTGGTAAGTCCCAAGCCTGCTGGCAATAGGCACCTGCTGCATAGACCTTTGCCGCGCCTCTGGCGTCCGTCTTCGCCAGGTCCCTGAGCTTGGCCACCCTCTGCTTGGCCTTGGCCTGGCGCGCGGCATGGGTGGGTCGCCGCAGTTGCTTCCCAAGGCTGGTGTCCACGCCGAGGTCGCGCACTACCCCTGGTTGCTGGTTGGGGGTGCCCAGGCTGTCCAGGATGCTGGCGACTTCTGCCTGGAGGTCCTTGTCCGAGGCCACCACTGCCGTCTTGACTGAGATGGGGATCGCGAGCTGCTTGAACCCATCGTGCACCAGCGCCGCCACATGCTTGATCTGGTCAATGACCTGCCGCCGCGCGCCCTCCACCTGCAGGGCCAAGTCGTCCAGGTACTGCTGCATGACGACGTAGATATGGTGCCTGTGCGCTGCATCCAGGATCCCATACAAGAGCGGTCTGGTGAGGTCTACCGCTTGGCCACAGCCTGCTACCATGCTGTTGACAGGCTCAAAGATGTCCGAGAAGAGGCTGTGGGCCATGATGGCCCTGGGCGCAAGGTACATCTGCACGGCCATTGCCAGCGGCAGCAACGGGCACTGGAGGGCACTGGCCTTCTCGATCAGCTGGTCGAGGCCTATGTTGTCGTAGAAGTTTGCCGCGTCGTAGAACACTCCTGCTGCATGAAAGCCCATCTCCGTGGCGGCTTCTGCCCTCATAAGTCTGTGCATTGCCACTCGTAGCGCTGAGGAGCCAGCTACTGCCGTATCCCAGAAGCCCGCCGCTGCCTTGCTCCAGGTGGCTACTATGGGCCTCCTGGCTGCGCTCCAGATGCGGTACGGCATGGGCATGAGGCCGGTGGGGCGCTCTCCCCCGATCCCTGGCTTCTTACCCAGCAGCAGCTCCAGCACCAGGTAGAATTGCCACGGCCAGGCTGCCCGTTGCTCACAGCTGGTCAGGCACTGCACGAAATCTTCCAGCCCCTGGGCTCCCATGGCCTTGAGCTCTGGAGCCCTCCACCAGTCCGCTCCTTGGCCTGCATTGCTCTTCAGGTGCTGTATGATGGAGCCTATGATGTCCTTGCTGATGGGCTCGAGGGCATTCTCTTGGGCCAGGGCAGCCTGCCTCAGCTTGGCCAGCGCCTCTTGGATCCTCTCGGCCTTCTGCGCATCTCGTGTCCACCTGCGTTGCCATGCTTCTTTGCGCAAGTCCACCAGCTGCTGCGGGTGGTTGATGACCTGGCCCTCGTGCTCTAGGATGTCCTCCAGATGGCTGCGCTCTGCTGCTTTGGTGTAGGCGTGGGCCATCTTCGCACTGCCAGCCGTGGCGTCATGCACCCAGTGGATGTACGCCTTCTTCACCGCCTTTGTGAGTAGCTTGGCCATGCTCTTTACCTCCTCTGCTACCCTGCTGATCGTCCCTGGGTCCACGAGGGCGCCCTCTGCTATGGCGTGCAGGTCTGCGAGGAGGGCCTGCTGCTGGTCCTTGGCCGCGCCTTCATCGTTCAGCCTGCCTGGGTCAGGCTGGTTGAGCTGCTGCGCTAGCTGCTGTCTTGTGTTGATCTGCTGCTGCGTCTGACGGCCACTGTGGGTGCGGACCTGCTGCTCTCGGCGGCTACTCTGGCCATTGCCTGTACCTGGAGCATCATGTAGTTGTCTTCGCGCTGCTCCTTCTGGTGCTCTTTCGCCTATGACTTCTCGCATGAACCTCCGCAGGTTTGAGAGCTCCCTCCAGTGCATCATTTCCAATTCGTGCCTCCTCGTCGGCACCTCTCGCACAAGTCCTTGGAGAAAGCCTCGGCGTCGTGGTTCTGCATGTCTCCATGCTCGCTCGCAGAGGTCCGTGATGATGTGGCTGAGGCCGGCCTGCTGGTGCCATCGTCTGAGCAGTCTCACCATGCCATTGTTGCCTCCGCCTCCCAGGATGGTCTCCAGGAGCGGCACGCAGATCTGCATCCAGTTGCTGTTGTCCGTGGGGAGCTGCACCAAGTTATCCATCCAGATGGCCGCCCAGTACTCCAGGTCGTCTCTCATGGCCACGTAGTCTTCCCGCTCCCGCTGGTGTTGGTCATCATTCCAGGGGTCTGTAGGGGGCAGGCCCATATCTCGTTGCTCATCTGCCTCTGGGCTTGGCGGCGCTTGGTTCTGACTCCTCAGGTGATCGGTACCCTCTGCCTCCAGAGTGCCAGCTGGCTGAGGAGGTGAGCAGTGCGTGTCACCTGGGGCGGTTTCACCAGATCCAGCTGCCTGACGACGTGCGGTCTGGCCGTGGCCGTTGCCATCCAGCTGCCCCTCGATACGCTGGTGGTACCCATCGCAGTCCTCCTGGTCTGCGGTCTCCTGGCGGTTCTGGAAGCGGTCCTCCTCTTCCTCGAAGGGGTCGTGGTCTTGGTCGTCCATGGTGCTGCGTCCTGCTGGTGGGTGAGAGTCAGGTCCAGCTGCTCGACACGGGGCGGTCTGGCTGGACTCGAGGCTGGCCTGCTGCCCCTCGATGTACTGGTGGTACCCATCGCTGTTTTCCTGGTCTGCGATCTCCTGGCGGTACTCCAAGTACTCCTCCTCATCCTCGAAGGGGTCGTGATCTTGGATGTCCATGGTGTTGCGCCCTGCTGGTGGGGGAAGGGCACCCCTCTGCATCCCTTCTGGGCAACTGTCTGCGGTGCTGTGGGCATGCCCCACGTGGGGGTCTGGGACGCCTCCTGCTGCGCCTCCACTGCCTGCGCTCCGCTGCTGCAGCTCGGGGGGGCCCTTGCCCCGCTCGCAGGGGGGGGGGTTCCACCGGGCTTCCTCCCGAGCTCTTCGGTGGGCTCAAGGCTGGCGCAGGGTCGCCTTCTTCGTGGCCTTCCTGGCTGCCCGAAATGACGGGGCCAAGCTCCAGCTCCAACGGGCCCTGTCCTCCTCCCGAGTCCTCATCGGGACGTGCTTGGGTCTTGCCCTGTCGACTTGCCGCTGCCTCCTGCGCTCGGGCGTCGTGGTGCGAGACCTGCCGCACCAAGGAGGAGATCTCCGCCCACCACGCATGGATCTTCCTTTCAACCCCTGCCCATGGCGTAGAGGTGACGGTGTCCTTGATGCTCGCGCTCTGGTAGCTCGGGGGCCTGCTGTGCCCGAGATGACGTCCTCGATCTTCCTCTGGGATGCCGATGCTCTCGCACAGGCTGAGCTCGAGTGTGCTAGCGAAGTGGTCGTACTGTTGCCCCAGATCCAGCATGTCCCGCTCCATCATCTTGCCGACGACAGTGCGCTGCAAGTGCTGGGGCAACTCGTCGTAGACACGCAAGCTGACCCTCTCGGAGGTGGCCTGCCACAGCTCGTCAGGGATGACGTGCTGGACCTCCTTGTCGTAGTACAGCTGCGGCACTGGCTCCATGTCGTTTCCTTCCTGGTCGCATCCTGCCTCTGCCAACGCTTGCTGACGTCGGCGCATGGCCTCCTGGCCTCCTCGCGCCGCTCGCCTGCAAGCGGCTCTGGACTTCGGCATTCTCTCAACTGCGACTGGTGGCTTTATGGCTGCTGGCCTGCGAAGTACCCTGCCCTTGAGCTTTAGAGGCCGCCCTCTCAGCTTCAAGCGGATGCCAATGTGCGGCTTCCACGGCACGGTCCTGAGCAGCTCTAGCTGGTCAAAATACGGCGCCAGGCCCTGCGAGATCAGCGCGAAATCGATGCACCTGGCTTCGCCTCCTGCTGGGAAGCACGTGGGGGCGCCATCCTCCGCCGCTGCTACTTGAGCATTCAGCACCCTGGGCCAGATGCTGTTGTTGAGCTCCGACGGCGTCATGTTGAAATCCCCAAGCGCTGCCCATGGCCCTCCCCAGACGGCCATCTTTTCCCGCAGGTCGCAGAGGATGTCGACGTTCCTCTCTCCGAAGCCCGTCCCACACTCGAGGTAGACGAAGGCCACTGCGAAGCGGACCTTGTGCAGGTTGGAGATCACCACCGTGACGTCGCTGCCGTCCTCGTGCAGGTAGTGCTCGTCGAAGCCCGCGATCCTGTCCTGGACGTCCATGGATCCTCGCGTTATGGCACACGTTCCTCCACGAGTGCCTTCTCCTTCTCCTGGCCGTGCCTTGGTCCAGTAGCTGTGCATGCCTTTCCTCCTGAGCGCCGCTCTTGCCTTGCCTATCTGCGCAGGCTGGCGGAGGTGGTGCTCCGCGATGCCGATGATGTCCCTGTCCTTGGTGTCGTTGATCTCCACGAGGTAGCCCTGTGCCTGGGGGCCCCAGGTCGTGACATTGAAGAAGTCGATGTGGTAAGGGCGGCGAGCCTTCTTCGTGCTCGCCTTGGGGCGGCTACCCTGCTGAGTGGTCACCTTGCCCTTCTGCGTCGACGACTGTCTCGGCGCGCCTGGCCTGCGAGACCTTCTCTCGCGCCTCCTGGATGTGGGCCTCCACTCTAGCTCGGCGTTCCTCTGCTTTGTCATGTTCAGCTGCACCTGCTTCTGGTTGGGCAGCTGCCGCGGCGCCGTTAGGCGCAGCCGCAGCAGCTGACCCTGCTGCCTCAGCGCCTGTGGTGGCTCCTCGCTGAGGGGCTGGGCTGGCAGCGCAGACCCGCTTGCCTGGTGGGGCATATGCTGCTTCTGGGTTTTGCTCTCCGTTCTTTGACAGGCGCTTGGTGCGGGCCTGCTCGAGCTGGCGCAGCTGCTCTTGGTGCCTGGCCGTCTCTTCCTCCAGAAGTCGCAGGTGCTTCGCCGTCTCCTCCTCGTGCTCCTTGACCGTCTGGGCCATGCGCTCACCCTTGGCCTTTGCAGCTCGCCAGACCTCCTTGTCTGGCTCGGACCACTTGTGGAAGTCGTCAGGCTCGTGCTCGAACTGCTCCAGGAGGGCTGCCAGCGTTGGCTTCTCAGCTGCGGGTTCGGCTGGTACCTCTTGCTTGCCGACTGTGGCCTTGAGCTTGTCGAACTCATCTTCTGCTGCAATGGATGCTTCCATAGCTTCACGAAGCTTGCGTTCACTCTCAGCCAAGTACTGCTGGGCACTCTCCACTTGCCCCCCTGCCGATCGTACCTTCTTCTGGAGTTTGTCCAAGCGTCGAGCTGCTGCCTCCACTGCCTTGAATCCAACGACTGGTTGATCTGCTGGTGGCTTGGCTGCGGCGAGCTCTGGCCAGAGGGCCTCGTAGTGCTGCTTGAGCGGGTCGTCCTTGCTGAGCTTGCCGTATGCTGCTGCAGCTGCGGCCTTGAGATCGGCGGTCTTGTCGTGAGGTGGTGGCTGGCGTTGGCCTCCTTGCCCTTTCCCGCCTGCACCAGCTCCTGGCTGCCAACCATCTGCCCAGCTGATCCTGGGCGAGGTTCCTCCTTGGGGCTGTGCTGCCACCCACCCACCATCCTCGTCACGGAAGACGTGCCCGTCAGGGACGAGGCAGGCGAGATTCTTGCCGCAGATGCAGAGGTCGCCCCTGCTGGTGATGTTCTTGCAGTAGCGCCATCTGCTGCACCCGTCACACACCACGTAGCTGCTGCGAGGAGGGCGACTGCCACTGCTGCTCCTCTTCCACGGGGGCACTCTCTGGCGATTCGGGGTCCCCGACCAGGCGCTGCCCGCCCCGCGTCCGCCGCTGCCACTCCCCATGGCTGCAGCAGTGCCGCGCGCGCGCCCGACGCCCGTCTGGGAACTGTCCTCGGTCCAGAGGTCTCCCTTCGGCCTGGAGGCTGGACAGCCCCCCAGGTCGCCATCTTGAGCCAAAATGGCTACGGAGGAGGAGGAGGAGGAGGAGGAGGAGGGCACGAAGCTCAGGAGGAGGAGGAGGGCATCAAGCTCAGAAGGAGGAGGAGGAGGAGAAGAAGAGGGAGGAGGAGGAGAGGGAGGAGAGGGAGGAGGAGGAGGAGGAGGAGGAGGAGGAGGAGGAAAGGGAGGAGAGGGAGGAGGAGGAGGAGGACGCTGCAGAGCAAAGAGGCCCGGTAGCCGCGCGCGCGGCGAGGCATGGGGCGCGCTGCAGAGCGCATGAGGCAGTGGCGGGGGCACGCCGGACGACGGCCGTCGAGGGGAAGGTGCAGCGGGCGGTGGCAGGAGAGGTCGGCGAGGCAGGGGAGCGGAGAGAGCTGCAGGGCAACTGCGGCGGGGGTACAGGGCAGTTTTTAATACATAAGATTTAAACATATATGCATGGACTCGTCGTTGGTTTTCACACTAAATTCCTGCAATTCTAACACATGATCCGCACGCGGAGCATGTATAAAAAACGGCACTGTAACCCCAGGAAACATTGAAGAACCCCCCCGGCGATATCTTAGCACCGCATTTTTATTCGATATTCCAAGGGGCCGAAATAGCCGAACGATAGGTTTAGCACCCGGACACACAACAAATTCGCGGAGGCCTGGCCCCTGGGCCACGGGAGGAGGGGGGGGCGCGGGAGGAGGAGGAGGAGGAGGAGGGAGGAGGAGGAGGAGGAGGAGGAGGAGGAGGAGGAGAGGGGAGGAGGAGGAGGAGGGAGGAGGAGGAGGGGGGCAGTGCGGGAGGTGGAGGAGAGGAGGAGGAGAAGGAGGATGAGGAGGAGGAGGAGGAGGGCTCCTGGTGCCAGGTAACGCTTCCAGGGTGCGGAAGGGTTATCGATTTGCCGGAAGGGGGGGGGGGTTCTTAAATGCTTCCTGGGGTTAGGGAGAAGAGGAGGGCGGGAGGGATGACCGGGAGCGGCATCTGGGGGAGGGCACAAGGAGGGGAGGCGCGAGGAGGGGGTGGGGGAGAGAGCGCGGAGGAGTTCGTGGAATGGACCCAGACGGAGGTGGTGAAGGGCTGGCGGGGACATGGAAGGAGGGGGCCGGAGGAGGGCGGAGGACATGCATCAGGGGCGGCAGGCGGACGAGGAGGAGCAGGCGGAGGCGGAGGAGGCGCAGCAGCAGCAGCGAGTGGAGTCGTTGCGAGGGGGGGAATTGGAACAGGGGGCGAACACCCTACACGGTGCCAAGAGAAGACTGGGCCGATGTTGGGGACGATCCGTCCAGGACGGGCTCAGCGGGCGTCGCAGGGTCCAAGGATTCGGCCTCGCCCTGCTGGGTTTGGGCAGCCCAGCTCGTGACCTTCCCCCCTGCCGCTCCCCCTCCTCCTCCTCTTCCTCCCCTCCTCCTCCTCCTCCTCCTCCTCCTCCTCATCCTCCTCCTCCTCGTCCTGCTGCTCCTCCTCCTCCTCCTCCTCCTCCTCCTCCTCCTCCTCCTCCTGCTCACGCTCCTCCTCCGCCTCCTCCTCCTCCTCCTCCTCCTCCTCCTCCTCCTCCTCCACGTCCTGCTGCTTCTCTCCTCCTCCTCCTCCTCCTCCTCCTTCCTCCTCCTGCTCCTCTCCATTTCCCTCCTCCTTTCCTCTCCTCCTCCTCTCTCCTCCTCCTCCTCTTCCTCCTCGTTGCGCGCCTCCGGCCTGCTGCTCCTCCTCCTCCTCCTCCTCCTCCTCCTCCTCCTCCTCTCCTCCTCCTCCTCCCCCAGGCATTCCTCCTCCTCCTCAACCCTCCTCCTCGTCCTGCTCCTCTTCCTCCTCCTCCACCTCGTCATCACTGCACCTCTCCTCCCTCCTGGCCTCCGCCTCCTCCTCCCGCTGCCCCTGCTGCGCCTCGAGCTGCTGCCGCTGCTTCCTCCCAAGACCTCGGACCTCTCTGACGTCGCGTCCCTACCATAGCTGGCCCTCCTCCCCGAGACCTGGCCCCTCGTGCCGTGCCGTTTTGCCGCGCGCCCCCCGGGCGGCGCGGGGGCCCTCGGGGGGGCCGAACACACACCTGCCCCAAGCATGCAGCCGTTTTCGTCGTCGCGGCGGGAAGGGGCCCGGGGCCCTGCGCAGCGCCCCCCTCTCCTCTGGAACGGAAGGCAGGAACGGGGCACAAGTCGGGCGTTGGCAGAACTGGGGTTTCAGTGGACCTGCTTACCAGAACCGGGTTCAGGGGAACTGGGCGGGCTGACTGACTGGAACTGCCGTCACCCGAAAAGCACCGGTTACGGCAAACCTGGTTCAGTGAATCTGGCCAATTGAGGGGCCCCAGGGCCCTGCCACTAGCCGGGTCCCCTTACGCGGGGTCCTGGCTATACCCGGCACAGGAAGCCACCAGGGATCTGCGAGACCTGGCCTTCCTGGAGTGTGCCTCAGGCGAAGCGGCCGTTGCAAAGCGCCCTGGACGCTCTCAGACTCACGAAGCGTTCGGGAACGCTCGGGCGCGATTATTACTCCCGCTCCTGAGCCTGTCTGATCCTCCTCTCTCTTCTACTCCTCCTCCTCCTCCTCCTCCTCCTCCTCCTCCTCCTCCTCCTCCTCCTCCTCCTCCTCCTCCTCCTCTCCCTCTTCTCCTCCTCCTCCTCCTCCTCCTCCTCCTCCTCCTCCTCCTCCTCCTCCTCCTCCTCCTCCTCCTCCTCCTCCTCCTCCTCTTTCTCCTCCAGCCAGCACAGGATACTTCTCAGAAGGCACGAGACGTCCGAGAAGCCACGCCCGCCTTCTGAGGAGGCCTTCTCCTTCCCACTGCCCCCCCTGGCTCGCCACCGATCCTGCTCCTTACCAGCCTCGAACGTATCCCTATCCCTAAGATTGACACGCCAAAAGGCGATGGCAATCTTGGGGATTCGCCCTCAAAAATAAGGGGATCCCCAGGATTGTCCTCGTGATGAGGAGGTGCCCAGCATAGGGATAGGGATATGTTCCAGGCTGGTAAGCTCCTCCTCCCTCCTCCCGACCGCGCGGGGAGCGCCGCGCCCGCCTCGGCGCCCTTCCCGCTCTCCTCCGTGTCCCTGGCTGCGATCAAGCGCGTCTTGATGGTGTCGACCGGGTGCACCTCTGGGGCGGGTCGTCGAGGGCAAAGAGGAGGAGGGGGACACTAGGAGGCAACTGCTGGGAGGCCTTCGTCGCAAAGACCGAGCAGCATGTAAGAACCACTTGGGGGGCCGCTGCGCCAGAGTAGGCCGCGGAACAAGCGAGGTTAAGCCGGGTTAAACAGGATTCAACCATATTATTACTAGCTTGGAACATGTCCCTATCCCTATGCTGGGCACCTCCTTATCACGATGCCAATCTTAGGGATTCCTGTATTTTTTGAAGGCGAATCCCTAAGATTGTCATCGCCTTTTGGCGTGTCAATCTTAGGGCTAGGGATACGTTCGAGGCTGGTAAGATTAAGCGAGATTAGGCCAGATCCCACAGGATTTCGCACCAGGGCAATCGGGGCGGACGGAAGTCGGGCACGCGCCCACTCGGGCTGCGGCTCCTCGGAGTCGACGCCTTGCCGCCAGGTCCACGGATCGGGGAAAACCCCCTCCCCCCCCCCGAAAGGTGAAGGCAGTGTTGCCTGCTTTGGCGACGGAGCGCGACGACGTTGTACGGGAGCGGGACGCGTCGCTCATCCACGCAACGTAATCCATGTCTGCGCTTCCTGAAGAAGGAGGATTACGTCGGAGGGCGCCAACTACTCACCCACATCGATCCTTGCCTGGCAAGCCCTCGGCCCACGATTGGGAAGGGCCGAGACCAGCTGCTTCGTGTCGCCGCCCCTTCCCAAACCCCCCTCCTCCCTTGTCCGAAACAGTGGGATGAGTACAGGGAGTGAGGAGAGGCACAGGAATGAGCGTGGAGGAAGGGGACAGGAGATCTGGGCACTGTTTTGGACTGTGTTGCAAACCCCGAGGCTCAATCAGAGCATGTACCCGAAAAGACCCGCAACAGCCTCAACAACGGCACCGCAGCCCCCGTGGAAGACGTGGCCAGGAGCCACACCCCTCCTCCCGAGGACGGGGCAGGAACGCTGGTCCAGTCACCACCGCCATCCTGCCCCGCCCCCGCGGGAGGTGGAGGAGGACGAGGAGGAGTCAGAGGGGCTGGTTCAGACGGTGGGAAACTTGAGCAGGGACCGACCGTCCTGGCATTCCCATTGTCCTACCACGAAATGCTCTGAGAGCCCAACGATGTTCTAAGCACAAAAACAATGTTCTCATACATAGACCTGTTTTTCTATATATATATATATATATATATAAAAAAGAGAAGACTCCGCCAGACATGTTCTTAGAACATTCCGTGGAAACCACAAAAGGTTCTTAGAACACTGTTTGGTAGGGCTATGGGCGAGCCAAGACGGTTCGCCACTGCTGGAAAACGGTGCCACACGTTCTCGTCCGTAATGCACCACCAACGTCGAGACCACGGCGGCTACGAAGGCGGCCAGGTAGTTGAACCACTCCGGCTCCCGCTCCAGCGCCTTCAGCTGCGCCTGCCGCTCCTTCAGGGCCTCCTGGAGCTGGAGCTCCCTCTTGGCCTGCCGGAGCATGTCCTCGTAATCCTCTGGTCGTGGATACCGCGACAATGGACACCCGAACAGTCCGATCATTGAATCCCACCAGCCCTCTGGGCTTAGGTGGTATAACGCGTTGTTTCTTCTCTCTTCCACTGAAACCCCTTCCCCTACCCCCTCCCCTGGGCCAGGAAGGGGCGGGTACCGAGGCGTTAGAGCGTCCAAGATGGCCCAAGATTGCTCCAAGAGGGCTTCGAAGTCTCAAAATGGCCTCCAAGATGGCCCATGCTACTTCGTCAAGATAGCCTCCGACATACCCCCAAGAGGCCCCAAGATAGCCCCACGACGGATCCAAGTGCCCTTCGAGCCCTCCACGGCGCCCTCCAAGATGCCAAAACCGTTCAAAAGCCTCGGGAAAATCAATGTGTTTGGCATTGTCACTTTTTCGCTTCCAATGGGCTTTGGAAGCCTCAAGATGGCCCCAAGATGGCCCAAAAGAGGCCCAAGAGGGGCCCAAGAAGGCCGAAGACGGCCCCAAGATCGCCCAAGAGGCGCCCAAGAGCGCTCCACGAGGGCCCCAAGATGCCGTTTGAGAGCCTCCGAGGAGGGGGGGGAGGGGGGGGGGGGGGGAGCGAATTCCTTCCCCCCCTCTTTTTGAGCCATGGTGCCCAAGACGGCCCCAAGAGGCCTCCCAGACCCCCCAAATAGCCCCAAGAGGGCTCCCCAAATACCCTCCACCCCGCCCTGTTTGGCCCAATATGGCTCCAAGAGAGCCCGAGATAGGCAAATATGGTTTTCAAAATGGCCTAAGATAGCCAAGCATGGCTCAAGATAGCCTCCGACAGACCTCCAAGAGGCCTCAAGGCAGCCTCAAGATGGCCCAAGATAGCCGAGCATGGCTCAAGATAGCCTCCGACAACCAATAGCCGAGCATGGCTCAAGATCTAGGATCGTGAATTGCAACTACAGGCGGTCCACGACCACTTCGGGCCAAAAAAAACAAACCCCCAAAAAACACCAGAAAATCTTGAAACCAAAACCTGGGGAGGTCAACATCCTGAAAAAAACTCAAACACCGAACCTGCGAAACAACTAAAACCCACAACAACATAGAAAAAAATGAAGCTCAAACCTGGGGAAAAACTCAAACCAAACAAAAACTCCATTCAATCTCCAAGCCGAAACCTAGGACAAATCAGGAAAAACACTGGAAAAAACTCTGGAACAACTCTGAGAAACTCTTGAAAACGTTAGAAAAAACTCTCAACGACTGAAAACTCTAAACCAACTATGGAAAAACTACAAAAAAACTAAACGCTTGAAAACTCTAAAAAAACTATGGAATAACTCTGGGAAAACTTTAGATACACCCTGGAAAAACTCTAAAACAACATTAAACAAAAACCTTGCGGGTTTGAGATGTTTCCGGGTTTGAGCTTCAGGTTTTGTCTAAGTTTTTTTGTGGGTTTGATTTGTTTCCCAGGTTTCGGCTTCAAGATTTTATGTAGTTTCTTCTGTGTTTGAGTGATCCCCAAGTTTTGTGTTTGAGATTGTCTCAGGTTGTCTTGGATGTTGCATTTCCCATTCAAGATTATTTAACATTTTTGGGGAGTTTGAGATTCCGGCCGAAAATGTTTTAAAGATTTCGGCAGGTTTTCCTATGGACCGCCTGTAGTCAATTCACGAAGCTCACTCAAGATAGCCTCCAAAGAGGCCTCAAGAATACTGGCAATCAATTCTGGATGGGCTGGTGGGTTTTTTATTGATTCGCGGCCCGCCAGGAAAAGTCCAGAGGGCGGTAAGAACGAGGCTGGGACACAGCGCACGAGAAGCAGATAATTAACGGCGCAGCACCTGGTGGGGGTACGCGAAGCGTCAATAATTTAAGATGTGTTTGAACTGTAGGAAAATGTTCTAAACGTGTTTTGAACATGTTTTTTTCTTACATGTTGGAAACGTGTTTAACACATGTTTTGGACATCTGAAATTAGTTGGCAACACGCTTCCTCTCCATTGATCGTCCTCTGCAATCCCCTTGGCAAAGAAAAAACTGCATAAACATCATCGGCGGCCAGCGCGGGGGGAGGTCGCACGATTCCCCATTATGTTCCTATACTTTCTAGGGAACCGACGATGAATGGTGTCTGTGTTTTCTCCCTCCTGATGCTGGGAAGGCCTGACCCTTCCAACTTCCCCCCCTCGCTCGCCGCCGACATTCACATGATGGGACTGTCTTCCACCACCACCACCACCAGAAGTTCAAGGGGGGAAGGAGGTAGAGGACGAGGACGAGGACGAGGAGGAGGAGGAGGAGGAGGAGAACATCCCCGTGAGGAGGAGGAGGAGGAGGACGAGGAGGAGGAGGACGAGGAGGAGGAGGAGGAGGAGGACGAGGAGGAGGAGAACGAGGACGAGGAGGACAACGTATGGTGGTGGTGGTGGAAAACATGCCCATCATCACGCTCGGAGGTCCGCGCAGATCTCTTGGCGTCGGCGCTGGGCCCCCTCTCCCCGGCGCCCGGCGTGCGGAGCGCCCCGGGGGGGCGGCGCCGGAGGCGCATTCCGGGGGGGGCTTGCAAAAAAAACCCGAACGAAGGATTGATTGCAAAAAAACCCTTCGGTTAGCAAAACAAAACTTTCGTTTTTTGTTACAATCCTTCGGTTTTTTTTGCAATCCTTCGCGACGAAGCAGAGATCCCGAAGGGAGCTCGAAGGATTGATGCTCACCCATCGGACGGAAGAAGTAGGGTGAAGTCGGGCGTGTCCCCCCCCCACAGGGGGATTTTCGACGGAAAATAAAAGATACTCCAAACAGATTCCAGAATGGTAAAAAAATACTCAACACATGATCCCCATACTATTTGTTTGACGGTAGCCCGACTTAAAAGTAGGTAGAAACATAAAGTAGGAAGGCGTTGAAGAAGACTGGGTGTCTGCCCGCCCCCCAAGGAGGACGGAAGAGGTGAAGCCACTCGATCATTGGAGCAGGAAGGCGCTTGAAGTAGATTGGAATATCGGAATCCAAGATACATACCTTCAACGACCGATGGGTACTCCATTGCTTTTGTCCCCGTGTGTTGTTTCCCCTCTGGGCTCTGCGTCGATCCTCGATGAGCTTGATCAGCGTCTTCCAGCCCTCGCCCGGCTGCTTGCCCTCCACGGCCCGCGTGTAGGCGTCGAGCCCCCGGTCCAGCATGATCTGCATCGTGCGCCTCTGCAGGTCCATCTCGTCCAGCAGCGCCTCCACGCGGCGCTCCGTGATCTGGCGGACCCGCTGGATGCCCTTGTTCTGCGGCAGCTCGATCCACTCCTCGGGAGGAAGGAGGGCGCGGGGAGGAGGGGCAGGGGAAGAATAGCAGGACGCGGCAGCGGCCGCTTGGAGAGCAAGGTCAGGGCAAGTGCGGGGCGGTTGCGACCCACGGCAGAAGGAGGAGCTCGACAAGGAGCCTGACACGGACAGCCACAGTAGACACAGAGCTTGACAAGGAGCTTGGCAAGGCGCTTACAGTGGTGGAGGTTCCGCGCCCGGGCGACCAGTCCAGGAGCTGGACACAGATCAGCCCCCTCAGCATAAAACCAACCTGTCAGGACGTGGACAGTTGAAGGGGAACTGGGACACACAAATAAATACACACAAATAAAAGGATCCCCCATATTTTCCTATATTTTCTGTGTTTTTGTCTTCCCCCCCACTTCCCATATCTTCCCATATTTCCTGGGAAATCGAGGGTTAATTGTGTCTGTGTGTTTCTTTTCCTCCTGAACAGTGGGCAGGCGAAAGGCCCCCCCCCCACCCCCAGCCCCGACCCCGTCTGGCAACCCGCGACCCAGGGGATCGGGACTGGGGGGGGGGGGGGCTCTTCGGGGCCCAGGAGTGGAGGAAACCCACCCCCACCCCCATTCCCGACCCCCTGAATCGCCGGCTCGGGGCTGGGAGTCGGGACTGGGGGTGGGGGTGACTTGTCGCCTTCTGAGACAGGGAACGGGACAGAAGGGCAAACTACTAGAGGCGGCCCGTGCCAGAGGCGGACTGGCTCTTCGGCCCCTGCGAGTGCAGGCAGCACCCTCCGATGCGATGTCGTCGACCCGCGGCCCCAGAAGTCCCGACCCCTCCCCAGGGGGGACTTCCTCTCCCCGGAGCCGTGAGGGAAAACACCACGTCGCCGGAAGTTTGGGGACGTATGATTCTGAAGGGGCCCTGGGACACACAAATAAATACACACAAATAAAAGGATTCCCCATATTTTCCAATATTTTCTGGGTGTTTGTCTTCCCCCCCTCTGCCCTTATTCTCCCATATTTTCTGGGAGATCGACGATGAATTGTGTCTGTGTTTTCTCCTCCTGAGACTCATACGTCTCCAAACGCGCAACATTTTTTTGGTCAGGAGGAGACCCTGAAGTGATACAGCCGTGGGGCGCCGCAACTCCGAACCCGCTTGGTGGGCACAGTTCCGCGGAACGCACGGTGATCCCAAGCGCCCATGGGTGAGGAGGAGGAGGAGGAAGAGAAAGAGAAGCAGCAAGGCAATCTGCTTTCGTGGATGGCACAGCCTTCGAGGGTTGTCAACATCGTTCATAATGAACGATGTTGACAACCCTCGAAGGCTGAGGGCCTAAGCCGGTGGCGAGGGAGCTCCTCCAGCTTGAGCAGGCTCAGCGGCGGCGGCGAGTTGACGGCCCCGCTCGCGGAGCCTCGGAGACCGAACGCTTCTACAGATCCACATCCTCGTTGACCCTCCTCCTCTTCCTGCCCCTCCTCCTCTGGCCTCCTCCAACCCCTCATCCTTCCTCCTACTCATCCCTCCTGCTCCTCCTCCTCCTACCCATATTCCCATCCCCCTCCTCTTCCCACTCCCTCCTTCTCACGGAGCCCGGGGAGCAGAACACTTCAATAGACCAAGTCTTCCTCCCCCTCTTCCTCTTCCTTTTTCCCCTCCTCCCCTGATCGTTGGTCCCTTCCCGCGAGGTAGGAGGGGGGAGCAACCGCAGGAGTCAACTTCTGGGAGGTCTTCGGAAGAACGGGTCAGGGCTATTACACCCAGTGAAGGGGCCAGAGGGACCAACCCAAATTAAGCCCGAATCAGCCCGATGTAGCCAGATTAAGGAAGATGTGTTACGAGAGATTTGTCAAAATCATGCCGCATTCGGCCTGGTTCCAATCACTAGCTTATCCGCAACGATGCTGAATTGGCACCCCCAGGATGCACATGCACCTCAACCAGGGATACAGACGGACCTAAGCCATGATAACACTCTTCAAGAACATGAGACCCTCCGCTGGCACTAACTGAATGACATTCCAGTGTACTCTCCCCCAGGATGCGCAGGAGCATCCAACAAAGACGAATCACATCAGGGCACCCTCCCCGAACCGAGTTCGATCTTATACCTCGGTCCGGCTGAATGAGAGGGCGTGCTTTTCACAACGACGAAACTCCCCAGAGGTCTCGAGCCCTTCCCGGCGACTGGCCTTTCATCCCAAGCTTGTGTTCGAGGGCCCCGAGACCCGGTGAGCGAGGGCTCCTCGATGACGAAAGCTGGCAGGAACCTTCCGCCGTGATCTCCTCACGACGCAAGGGCGACAGCGAACGAGGCGCAGGCTTCGATTCTGGCGAGTCTGATTGCACGGAGGGTTGGGGGCGGGGGGCGTGGCGAGGCCAGGAAGGAGCTCTGGACTCCACGCCTACGGTCAGGACACGCTTGCACGCCAAAATTTCGGCCCAGCGCTGTTCGAGTACGCGGCGGAGGGAAGGGGTGGCATGCCGTGCAGACGAGCTTGCCCGAGTCTTTGACGCCCGGAGACTGGGTACGGGCACAAAAACTGGTACGCTTAGGTCGGGCCTGTCCCCACAACAGGGGGACTTTCGACGAAAATTAGAACATACCCCCGAAATAATAATAATAATAATAATAATAATAATAATAATAATAATAATAATAATAATAATAATAATAAAAATAGGCTGGGGACTATGTTTTGAATATTTGTTTGCCTTTTGGGGGTATTTCTTGTGTATTTTTCATTTTTCGTCGAAACTCCCCCTGTAGGGGGACACGCCGGAGATGGTACGCTTCCCAACAACGAGCGCTGTCCCAGACCAACGCGGGCCGCTGTTGGGCATGCGACTTTTTGTCTCAAGTGGACGACGTCTGCTGCGACATCGGCGGGGAATCCCGCTCAAATTGCCAGGAACTGTCTTCTGTCTGAGTCCCCACCCTTTCCGTACCCACTTCAATCGTTCCGATCCCGAGGACCAACAGAGAACGGAATCATGACACCAGAGAAACACCCCATTCAGTGGATGGTTTTCGCTGAGGAGATCGACCGGGAACCCGGGAGCCCCCGAAGCCAGAAACCACCGAAATCGGCCTGGAACCACTGACCGGGAACCCAGGAACCCGGAACCGGGGAACTGGGAACCCAGCCTGCTACCAAATTCGGCGGGAAAGTTCGCCAAATCTTTCAACTTCCGCTAGGACCCCTTCAATGCAAGCAGCAAGTACTGATTGGGGAATAAACTGTCGGGGATGCGCGATAAATTCTTGGGTGGTCGCGCGGGAATCTCCTCCCCGACGCCCGGAGCAGAGCAACGGCTGCGACGCACGCGCCGCAAAGGGGGTCTCAGCGCAGATCCAAGACACCCGCGCCGAGCTCTGAAAGTGTGTCTATGACAGGCCCTCTTCTTCGCGTACCGACCTGAATCCTACAGTCGGGCTGCTGAAATCAGGAACGCCAAATGATACAAGGCGAAGCCCACTCTGTGGCACCAGAAGGTCCTGGGTGCACGAGGAGGGCCGGAAGAACAACCACGGAATTGGGGGGCCACGTGCGAACCTACCCCTACCCCCCACGATTTCTGAGAGGGAGGGTGGGGTTCACTTCGTTCGGGAGCTCCGAGCGAAATGAACCCCACCCTCCTGCTCAGAAATCGTGGGGGGTAGGGGTACACGTCGGTCGGAAGAAGTAGGCAGAAACATGATGTAGGAAGGCGGATATCGTGGATTGGGTCCAGGTCCTCCCAGAGAACCACAAACACACAGCAGAAGCATGCCGCTTCGTGAAGCAGGAAGGCGATTGAAGTAGATTGGGAGATGGGAAATCCAGAAATACCTACTTCCAACGACCGGCGTGTAGGGCTCGCACGTGGCCCCCTAGGAATTACCCTGAAGGGGAACTGGGACACACAAATAAATACACACACAAATTACCAGATTCCCTATATTTCCCTATATTTCCTTGGTTTTAGTCTTCCCCCCGCACTTCCCATATTTTCCCATATTTCCTGGGGAATCGACGATGACTTGTGCCTGTGTGTTTTTTCCCCTCCTGATACCCAAGGAACAGCGCCGATTCGTGAAGCAGGAAGGCGCCTGAAGTAGGTTGGGAGCTGGGACTCCAGAACTACCTGCTTCCAACGACCGGCGTGTGGGGTTCCCACGTTGCCCACTAGGAATGACATTGAAGGAACTGGGACACACACAAATAAATACACACACAAATAATCAGATTCCCTGTATTTCCCTATATCTGGGACTCAAGAAATACCTACTTCCAACGACCGGCGTGTAGGGTTCCCACGTGGCCCCCCAGGAATCACCTAATGGGATCTGGGAATCCAGGAATACCTACCTCCAACGACCGGCAGGCAGGGCTCGCACGTGGGCCCCCCATAGGAATTGCCTACAACCAACAGCGGGCCCCCTCCGAACCCCAAGCGGTCCCTGCCTCAGCCTCTTGGCTCTGCACGTCTCTTCGGGGATCTCCTGACCCGGGTCAATCCAGACCCGGTTCAGTCAGGCCTTGCAGGATCCTGCAGGATCCTGCAAGATCCTGCGCGCCCAAACCTGGGTCCATGCGAAGGATCCTGCCAGATCCTGCAGCGTCCTGCTCCCAAACCCGGATCAATGCGACCCTGGCCCTGCAGGATCCTGCAAGATCGGGCGCTCTGGCTGACCCCCGTTTGCACTGACCCCCGTCTCGAGGCTCCCGATCTCTGCACCCTTCCCCGCCCCCCGGGGCGCCCAGGCCGGCGCGGGCCGGGCCCGCGCCCCCGAGCGCCGCTGCCGCGCAGGCCGCCAGCGCACCGGCCCGGAGGGCGTCGCGGCGCGACGGCGGCTGCCTTGCGCGGGGGCGTCCGAAGAGGAAGGGGCCCACAGGCACGCAAATAAGTAGACACACGAAGAACAGGAGTCCCAATCTTTTCCATTCTATGTTCGGTGTTTTTGCCTTCCCCCCAGTTCCCATATTTTCCCATATGTTCGGGGGAATCGACGGTGAATAGTGTCTGTCTGTGTGTGTGTGTCTGTGTCTGTGTCTGTGTCTGTGTCTGTGTCTGTGTCTGTGTCTGTGTCTGTGTCTGTGTCTGTGTGTGTCTGTGTCTGTGTGTCTGTGTGTCTGTGTGTCTGTGTGTCTGTGTGTCTGTGTGTCTGTGTGTCTGTGTGTCTGTGTGTCTGTGTGTCTGTGTGTCTGTGTGTCTGTGTGTCTGTGTGTCTGTGTGTCTGTGTGTCTGTGTGTCTGTGTGTCTGTGTGTCTGTGTGTCTGTGTGTCTGTGTGTCTGTGTGTCTGTGTGTCTGTGTGTCTGTGTGTCTGTGTGTGTGTTTGTCCCTCCTGAAAAGAGGGTGCTCGCAGATCATGGCTCGAGGCACGTGCGCGGTCCAGGGGTTGCCATGAAATCTGGGGAGTTCTCATGGCCCTGGCCATGACATGACCACCCTTTGTCGTCACCCCCCGCCCCCCAGCTTGTCGCGGGCAGGAGCCAGGCGTTCTGAGAAGGCACGCGGCGAGGCAAGGGCAGCTGGTTCGGCGATCTGAACTCGAAAAACAGGTCGCCCTCGGGTTTCCAGATGTCTCCCGTCGGCTGCGCCTCCTCCTCCTCCTCCCCCTCTCCTCTCCCCCTCCCTCCTCCCCCTCCCTCCTCCCCCTCCCTCCCCCTCCCTCCTTCCCCTCCCTCCTCCCCCTCCATCCTCCCCCTCCTCCCTCCTCCTCCTCTCCTCCTCCTCCCCCTCCTTCCTCCCCTCCTCCCGCAGGGCTGGCGGGGGCAGGACCTGGCGCACCGCGCGCCACGGGAGAGGGGGGCCAGGGCCGCGCCCTCCTCCCTCCCTCCCCGATCACGCCCCCCTCCCCCTCCCGCTCCCCCTCCCAAACGGCCGCCCTCCGGCCCCCACCCCCTGCCCCTCTCCCATGCTGTGACATACTACGCTTTGCGGTGCTCTTCTACGCCATGCCATGCCGTGTTCTACAATGCATCGCGCCCGATCCTCCCTCCCCCCTCCCCCTCGCATGGCGCGCCGGCGTTGACCCAAACGGCCGCCCGGGGAACCCCGAGCTGCGACCCGAAGGCCGAGCGGAGGCTGCTCCGTGGGACCCGAGACCCCGAGGAGCACGCCGCCTCGGGGAAGAACCCCCGCGAGCGCGCCCGCCGCCGACGAAGCACCCGGCCTTCGTGTACGAGCGGGCTCCCGACGGCAGCAGCGGCGGCGAGC